TTATAGATTCGCTGGCCCAACGGGCCAGAGGCGTGCTAAGATCTCCGGTAACAAGTCAACAATACAACAAGTTCGCGCGCGCGAGGCGGCCCCTAGGGGCCCCGACGCGACAAGTACCCCGCCAAAGTCCCGGCAAGTGCCCGCCAGAGATGCCGGAGGCCCCCCTGGACGGCCCAAGAGGCGCCCAAGACGGCCTCAAGAGAGCGCCCAGACGGTCCAAGAGCCATTGGAGTCCTCGAAAGATGACCGACGAATGCCAAGATGGCCACAAGACTGCCCAAGAGGCCGCCAAGATGCTTCAAGAGGCCTCAAGACAGCCTCAAGAGGCTCTCCACGAGGGCCTCAATAAGCAAAAATCGCCCCATTCCTTTCGGAAATCATATATTTTTCCCATGCGCGACGTTTCTTGTCTGTTCGGTTTTCCAACGCCCCAAGACGGCCCAAGAGGCCCCCCAAGACCGCCCCAAGACGGCCCAAGAAGCCTCCAAGAGGGCCCCAAGACGATTGCCCCAAGGCAGCCCAAAAGGCGCCCAAGCTGGCCCAAGAGGGCCCCAAAACGGCCCCAAGATAGGCCAAAGACGAGGACCAGGAACCGAAAAGTACAACCTTCAGCCCCAAGATGCCCCTAAGAGGCCCCCAAGAGGCATCCCAAGAAGCCTCAAGAGGCCCCTAAGAGACCCCAACAAGGCCCCCAAGAGGATTCAAAACTGCCTACCAGAGGCCCCCAAGAGGCCCCAACACGGCCCCCAGGCGGCATGGCAATATGGGCCGGCGGAATGAGCGAAGCGATTGAATGACTCTTCCCTGTCGCACCCCGAGGCCAATCAAAAGGGTGGGCCTGGCGTTTCGCCTGAGACTTCTCCACCATTTATGATCCTGAAACTTGAAATTCGCCACAATTTCACGGATGGAAGGCAGTCCGCTTTCAACGTTTGGTTCGCGCCTTAGCGCCGTGCACATTCGTTAATATTTCCCAGCGTTTTACGGATGGAGGGCGGCTCCTCTTCAGAACGTGGCTCTCGCCTCAGTGCCGCGCGCCCTCGTTTGAAAAATTGCCAGAGCATCACGGACGGAGGGTGGCTCCTTTTCAAAATGTGGATCTCGCCTTAGCGCCAGTCCACAAGCGTTTGCAACAATTTCAAACCTTATCATGGTGAACGTCCCAGAAACGGTGTTCTGGCATGCGGTCGGCATGTCAGGGTGCGACAGTCACGTTGATTTGCGGTGTTGAAGTCCAAGAACGGCGTTCTGGCACGATCCAGAATCGTAGAGACGCAACAGTAAGTGTAATTCGTGGCGTTGAAATCCCAGGAAGGTTCCCTCAGTGAAAATCAATCCTTGTAGGAGCCTATGACGAGGAAAACTTGAAGGGAGGGTTTATTGCAATATCGTTGATGAGACTTGGGTTTGCACTGGTCCTCGTCGTCGTCGTCGTCGTCGTCGTCGTCGTCGTCGCCCTCGTCCTCCTCTTCTTCTTCTTCTTCTTCCTCCTCCTCCTCCTCCTCCTCCAGGAGACAGGCTGGAGGGATGGGGAGGGGGAGGGCCTGGGGGCAAGGGAAGGTAGAGGGACGAGCAACTGCCAGCTTTCGGTGAAGCATGTGCCAGGCGCGTGACTAAACGTACGTAATTGTGCAGTTTGGGCTGGGGCGGACGGGCGGTCGGTTGGACATGCAGCGCCCGCGAGCGTGATTCATCCAGGCCGCGCCTCTAATGCTGGCGCTGCCACTCTCTCCGCCGCCGCCCGGGAAGAGACCTTCCGACACAGCCTCTTCCTCTTCGGCCGCTTGCCGCCCAGCCCCCGCGCTGCACTGTGCATGCTTGCTCCCGCTCGGAGGCGGCTTTTTTTGTTCTCCCAATGGGCTTGCCCTATAGGAGTTCTAACTCAAACCCCACTAGTTGGTCCGTTGCCGCCCCTAACTCCTATGCCCCCCTCCCCCCAATTCCTGTGGCTGTGCCTGTGCCTATGCCTATGCCTCCCCCCTAACTCCGATGCGTACGCCTATGCCTATGCCTGCTCTTGCTTGCTTGCTCTCGCTTGCTTGCTCTTGCTTGCCCTTGTTTGCTTGCACTTGATCGCTGGCTCTTGCTTGCTTGTTATTGCTCGCTTGCGCTTGCATGCTTCCGCTTGCTTGCTTGCGCTTGCTTGATTTTGCTCCTCCCGTCCTCCTCCCGTCCTGCTCCCGTCCTCCTTTCGTCCTCCTCCCATCCTCCTCTCGTCCTCCTCCTGCCATTCCATCTATTTGGAGTCAACGCTGGCTGATATTGTTGTTATGCTTCGCTTTGTGTGTGTGCTTCATTTTTCTTTTTCGGAGGAGCAGGAGATGGGAGCGGACAGCAATAGCATACACAACTCGCGTCGCCAGGCGTGCCAGCCACTTTCATTCACGTCGCAAGGCTGTCCTGCGACCGTGGTCGAAACTCCGGCCAGGGATGACTCGGGCCAAGCCGCGCTTACGTTGCTGCTTCGTGTAGGCGCCGGTTGTAGCGGACAAGGCGGCGCGTGGCTGGTGATCGCTCGTCAGTGGCGGGGCCACGCGCCATCCGCCGGCGGGCGTCGCACGAAAGCTTCGCACCCCCGCGGGGTCTGTTCACCAGCCAACAACTGGGCGGGGGGTGGCGGTGCAGATCGCGAGCCGACGCTCTGGGAAGCGGGGTGGCCAGGCGGGGGTGGGGAGTCGGGTGCTGCTGGCAGAGCCCCTGGCCCCTGGCCCAAGGCACCCCCAGGATTCTCGGGGTGGCCCAGACGGCCTCACGAGGCCCAGAGGGCCCCACGGGGGGCACCCTGGGCCAGGGGCACTTCTAGCAACACCCGAGGGAGGGCGGGGAGCGAAGCGCTCTTCTCGCTCCTGCACCGCTCCAGCCCGCCCTCCTCTCGCCCCCCCGCCGCTCAAGCCTCGAGGCTGGCCGCGCCGCGCATCCCCTGCCTTCGGGTGGGGGTCTCTGCGGGGTCTCCCGCAGCGCCGATGGGGGCCCTCTGGGGGGGAGGCCTCTCCGGGAGCAAGCCGGGGAGGAGGGAGGCGGGAGGGGGAGGGCGAGGAGCATGGGGCAGAAAGGAGCCCGACACGCTCCCAGATCCGCGCTCTCTGTCTCCAGAGGCAGAAGGAACGGCATGCAGATGCACTTTCGGAGGTCGGCGCGGATTTCTAAATGGATGCTTTCTTGGTGATTCCATCCTGCCCGTCACCGGCCTCGTCTCGGATCGATCCTTGTACAGTCCTGGGCCCCAGAGCGAGCCTCCAGCGGTCGATGTCGATGAACAAGATCTGGCGCGAATTACTATTCGAACCCCAGTCCTTCGAAAATCAACCCATGGATCTGTCCAGTGATGCGTTCAGACCAATGGGAGGCGGATCCAGCCGTGGCGACGAGAAGCCCTCCAGAGGCCCCCAAACCAGAGGCGAGACACCTCCAGCAATACCGGTCCTCCTCCCCTCCCCCGTCCCGAGCAGCGCGTTCACCTCGTGCGGCTGTGCCAGCTGCGGCCCGTCCTTGGAGGGCACCAGGGCGAACGCGGCCGAGCGCTTCTCGCCAGGCTGCGCGGGCGCGCGGCGCGCGCTTCTTCGATGAGGCCCAGGCCGTCGCTGTCCTCGTCGCCGCCGCCGTCCTCGCCGTCGCCGTCCTCGTCATCGCCGCCGCTGCTCTCGCCGTCGCCGTCGCCGTCGTCGTCGTTGCCCCAGCCACTGTCGTCGCCGCCGTCACCGCCGTCGCGGATGGAGGATCGAGGTCTTTGTAGGTTTGTGGACCGTTCGGGGACTCGTGAGAATCCTCTGGGGGTCTCGTCAAGCTTAGTCACCCTGGGACCACCAGAGAGTTCTGGAGACCTCCGCAGGCGGAGAATGAAGACGGTCACCGTTGTCGTCGTTGTCGCCGCCGTCCTCGTCGCCCCCGCCGTCGCCACCGCCACCGCCACCGCCGTTGCTGTCGCCGCTGCCGCTGCAGCCTTCGTGTCGTTGCTTTCGTCATAGCTGCACAATGGTCCCAGGAAGGGGGCCGCAAAGGTATTCTTACATGTGAAACATGGGGGTCCAGGGTCGCGTTTTTCCCCCAAGCCGTGCTTGCACATAGGGGCTCTTACTAATGTTCCCAGAGATTGGATGGGCCTGGCGATGAGTTTCCACGCTGCGGCCCGTGGCCGCCTCGTGGCCGCCTCGCGCGCTGGGTGGGTCCTGCGAGGCTTCGCCACGTTGCCGCCCTTGGCCGGCTGGTGGCCGCCTCGTGCGCTGGGTGGGTCTGACGAGGTTTCGCCACGTGGCCGCCCGTGGCCGCCTCCAGCTTGCACCACCTAGCTTGCGCCGAATAGCTTGTACTGATCAACCTGTACTACATACCTTGCACACGCACACCAGGCAAACACCTGTCTCGTGGAGTCCACACCGCCAACCTGCTTTGTCGCGTCTCTTCTCTTCCTATTACTTTCCCCCTCTGTTTCTTCTGAATCTAGTCGTCTTGATCTCTATATTCTTCTCCTTCTCACAATTACCATCATCCTCCTCATCATCTCCTTCTTCTCAGAAGGGCTACAGGACGTGGGAGCAGGGAGGAGGGAGGGAGGGGAAAGGGAAAAGAGACATGACCCGAGTCTGAAGATGCTGATCGGATGGTCGCCGGTGCGAAAGAGAGAATGAGACACAGAAGGGGAGGAGGGGGCGTGCTGGATGATGGGGAGGAAGAGGCGGGAGAAGAGGGCAGAATACAAGGGGGCTCTCCGACAGCCCCGAGCAAGCGAGAGCGATGGCGAGGGAACCGGCCTACCCCCTTCTGCTCCTTCTCCTCCTCCTCCTCCTCCTCCTCCTCCTCCTGGTCCTCCTCCTCCTCCTCCTCCTCCTCCTCTTCCTCGAGGCCCTCCTCCTCCTGCTCCTCCTCCTCGTTGCCCTCCGCCTCCTCGAGGCCCCTCCTCCTCCTCCTCCACTCCCCTGCTCCTCCTTAGTCGCTGGCGGGCGCGCCGTGGGAGTGCCTCGTCGGAGAGGCGGGGCACCGCGCTCCCCACGGACCGGCCCCCCTCACTTCTTCAGGGACGCCACCCAGGAGAAGTCCTCGTCCTCTCCGAGGCCCTGCAGCTCCTCGTCGCCTTCCTCGTCGGAGCTCTCGTCGTCGGAGTCCTCCTCCTCTTCCTCCTCCTCCGCCTGCCTCAGCAGCTCCTCCTCTTGGGCCCTCCTCTCCTCCAGAGGAACAAAGCAACGGCATAAACATAAAGTGTCGGAGGTTCACGCGGATTTCTTGGATTGGCGCTGGACCCCCTTCCCTGTCGCGCGGAGTGCGCCGGGGGCGGCGCCGGAGGCGCCGCCAGGAAGTCCACCTCTGGTGCCAGAAATCCGTGCAGACTTGCGTCAATCTGTGCTCATGATGTTTTTTCTTCTTCGATCCTCAGCCTCCTGCTCGGCCAACCGGGTCTCGAGCTCCTCCTGCGCCGGCGCCAGACAGCCGGGGCTCTCTGCCGGCAGCTCCTTGCGACGCCAGGTCGTGCTCTGGATCGCCTTCAGCTCTGCGTCGTTGAATGGAAACTCGGAGTCCTGCTGCGGTCAGGGGAAGCAGGAGGTGGTCGAGGATGGGAACGAGGGCGAGAATCCTAGGCTAGAACTGATACGTACACACCGCCTCGGGAGCCGATGTCCAACGACCTTGGGAGGCAGTGGTTATGGGTATTCTCGGGCCACGGGGTGACCAGAGATATCCATATCCACTGCCTCCGTGGGTCCTGGGACATCGGTCCCCGAGGCGGCGGACTGTACCGGTGCCAGCCTCGGAGAGGAGGACAGGACAAGGACCTCGAGTCCTGCGGGGGCTCGATCGCGGCGTAGCCGGTCGCATCGTAGAGCCTGTTCGCAGCGACCTCCTTGTCCTCCACGTGGAGGTACATGGCCGTGTCGCCCCAGATGTCGCTCACGATGCGCTCGCAGAGGCGCAGCATGGCCCGCGCCAGGCCCCTGCGCTGGTAGGCCGCGCGCACGCACAGGTTCAGCGTGTACGGCTGCGACGCTACGCCCGCCTTCGACCGCGCGCCGGGCCCGCGCACGCGCCCGTCGCAGGGCCAGAGGCCCACGTCGTTCAGCGCCACGAGCGGCGTCGTCCAGTCGCCTCCCTCCTGGCGGCGCGGCGCGCCCACGGGTGAGGGCGGAGGGGGCGGGCCCCTCGGAGAGCTCAGAGGGCCTCCGGTCTTCGGAGAAGCTTCCTCTGCGCCCTCTCCGGGACCACGAGCAAAGGTTTCTCAGAGGGCTGGGGGGCTTCTGAGAAGCCCCGCCGCCTTCTAACACGGCCCGCCCCTCCTCTCACTCCCCTCCCCCCCCCCCGGGCGCGCCGCTGACCGGCGGCGCGGCAGGGAGCTGCGTCTCGCCCAGCCTTTGGGCTCAGATCAGGGGCGCCCTGAGGAGATCACGCCCCGCAGCCTCGCCCCGATTTTCGGCCCCCGGGACCCCTGCAGACCGACTGGGCTCGGGCAGCATGCCGCCCGAAGGCGGAGTCAACAGCTTGCGCCGTGATCTTTTACAACGTATTTTTTTGGGAGGGGGGTGCTTGTCACATCGTCAGTTCTCTTGAGGCCTTTCGAGTAGGGCCACTGCGTGTGGGGTCGGAGGAAGATGTGGCATTGCCAATGCATCGGGGATGCGCTGGCGACTTCTGGATGGAGAAACTTCCAATTCCTCGGACTCCATCGAGACTGCTCCGGTGTGGGCGGCCTGGAGCCCAAATCTCCTCCGTCTCGATGTTTCCCCCTGTCGCTGGCCCTCTGGAGCTCTTGACTCCTTCCCCTGCACTGGCCTGTAGTCCCCGACACTCCAAGGCCCGTGGGGACGGCCCCCGGGGCCCCAGGGACGGCTCCCAGGACACGGAAAGACGACGATCAAGCTCCTCCGCGATCTGACTTTCAGGACACAAGCATCAATAAGCGCTGACAGTCATGGACGTACGGTAAATGTTTGGACATTCGGGGGGGGGGGGGGGGGCGGGGGAAGAGGAACCTCCAGGAGATCTGGAATTGGAGATCCTGGAACCGTGTGTGTCGGTTTACTTGTGGCCCCCTGGGCCCCTCTAGTCTTTCAGGTCGAGTCGCCAGAGGCCCAGGGGACCTCGGGGCACGTGCGAGCGCCTGCGCCCACGGCCGCGCCCACGGCGAGGTTCTTCGGGCCTTCCCACGCCGGGGTGGCGGGCGAAGAGATGCGCCCTGGGAGAGGGGGGGGGGGCAGGAGGAGGGAGGAGGGAGGGAGGAGGAGGAGGAAAGACGAGGAGGGAGGACGAGGAGGGACGAGGAGGAGGAGGGACGAGGAGGAGGGAGGGTGGGACGAGGAGTGAGGAGGGAGGATGTGCGACGATACGCCGGCTTTCGGGGCGGAAGGTCCCCAGGCGGCTGGGCACTGTGCGAGGCAGCCACCTCCGTGGGCCCACAGGTCGGCAGGGAGCATCGGAGTGCTCCTGCTGAGGGCGTGGTGTGCCCAACTGGGGTGTAGAGAGGATGGCGGAGGGTGGGGGGCGAGGACGGGTTGGGGGTGCCACCACCCGAGGGGCCACCGAACCACAGTCGCTCGCGGGTGTGCGCTGCCACTCCTGCGCGCTGACTGTCCCTTTCTTGTGGTGCTCCCCGTGCGAGTAACGAGGGAGCAGTAAGCGAAGCAAACGACAATCGGGAGTTACTTAGAAGGGGGCAATCAGCGGCCGAAGGCCCCTTTCCATTCATCGCCACTCCCTTTCGAGACGCCCGAATCAGGGTCAGCGCCGCTGTGCGCCGGTGAACTTCATGAAAGCTACCAGGGCAGCCCGTGCACTGACCTGCGCATTCGGCAGTGGAATGGCCGCCCTGGTGCCGCGATCACTCAAGTCAGCGCTCGGGCCCCCGCGGCATCCACCTCAAGAGACTCGGCCGAACCAAACGCCGACCACACCCTCTCCCTTCTCACGATTAGGGCCTCGCAGCCGACGCTGCTACTTGTAGGTGGCGAGGGCCCCCCAGACCTCGCGACCCCACACAGGGAACTCGTTATCCAAGGGAACTGCTGGAGTGTCCTGGGGCCAGAAGCGGGCCCCCAGAGGATCCCCAAGCTGTGCGAACCTGTCATTCGTTATGCTCCTGTGACGCTGGGATCTCATGGTCCTTCTTCTCTTCCCGACGCCTCCAGGGCACGAACGCCGCAGCGAGGCACCAAACATAAAAAGAAGAGGAGGAACATGATGATGATGATGATGATGATGATGATGATGATGATGATGATGCTGATGCTGATGATGATGATGATGATGATGATGATGATGATGATGATGATGCTGAGGAGGAGGAGGAGGAGGAGGAGGAGAAGGAGGAGGAGCAGCGGAGTGGAGGACGAGAAGGAGGAGATGAAGAATGAGGATAACATGGAGAAGGATGAGGATGTAGAGGAGGAGCGGGAGGAGGAGGAGAAGGAGGAGGAGGAGGAGGAGGAGGAGGAGGAGGAGGAGGAGGACGAGGAGAAGGAGGAGGAGGCGAGCGTGGGAGTCTCGCCCCCCCCCCCGTCCCCCCTCCCATGCCGCCAGTGGCCTCCCTCCCGCAGAGTCGCTGGGCGGCGCTGGGTCCTCCACAAAGGCCAGCACCAGCCCCAGCTGCGGGCGCTTGGTGGACCCCCGCGGCGCGGGTCTGCGGGGGAGCCCCCCCCCCCCCCCCCCTCCCTCCTTCCTCCTCCTCCTCCTCCCTCCTCCTCCTCCTCCTCCTCCTCCTCGCTTCTCCTCCTCGCTCCTCCTCCTCGCTCCTCCTCCTCGCTTCTCCTCCTCGCTTCTCCTCCTTCTCCTCCTCCTCCTCCTCCTCCTCCTCTCACTGTGCTTCGCACCATCTCGTTCGATCTGTGCTTCGCTCCATCTCGTTCGATCGGGCTCGGGCGAGCGTTCGAAGGGATTCGGTGGTTTAGGGGGAGTTCCTCATCGGGAGTTGCTCGTGCTGCGGTGTCTGGACTGAGACCCATCCCAGGCTGCAGGCTACATGTGTGATGATCTCTGCGAGAGTGGACAGCGTGACACCCTAGCCCCTAGCCCATGGTTGTTTTGAGTGCATGCTGCCGAGGGTCGTCGGAGCTCGGGCTGAGTCAGGTGTGCGTTAAGCTTGTCCAGTGTGGTCTCGAGTCAGATGATGACATTTTTACCAAATCCGTCATTTTTTACGCGTCCAGGTCTCGTCGAGCTGGAGAGGGGTTCGTGGACGATCGCAGTGCTACCGCCCAGCTCTGATGTGCCGGTCGCCACCTGAAGGGGACCGGTTGCAAGCTACCTTCCCCGCAGACTCCAACCGCCGCTGACAACGTTGCCCTCTGATTATATTTGTCCTACTATCTGAACGTGGGACCCTGGCTGACGTCGACGGCATGTCGGCGACGGACTGTTTCCAGGCTTCAAACAATGCCGCGAGTATTTTCATGATTGTGCGTATAAAACAAGGCTACGATCGGGATAAATCGCTCCAGAGCGTTCCGGAGCGCTCTCAGAGCGTTCCGGAACTCTCTGGAGCGGCCGCGGCGCCCAATACATCCTCCAAACCCGCCGATTCTCAGAGATTTCGAGTTATCCCGATCCGATTTTGTCCCGATCTTCGCGTCGTTTTAGCGTAGCCTCGGGAGGGCCACGGCTTCATCCCTGCGCGACACGTCAAGCCGCACTGCTCGGGTGCACAAGTGGCCAAGCCTAAGTCCAGAGGGTAAGCACTGGCCACGGGCCAACGCGTCTGCTGATCGCCATGCCAAGCTGGCGTCGAGTACCGTCGGGGCCTTGACCTAAGGAACCCTAAGTAAGGAACGAGGCCCCTTTTTTCCAGAAGTTGAACTTCGATTTCCGATCGAAAACATAAGGACAACCTGAGGCAAGCTGCGACACACTTAAGGGACGCGGAGCCCCTCCCCAACGAAAAGGGTTCCTTCTTCAGGGCCCCGACTGTGTGCACCCATCGCCGAATCCTGATGCTTTGAGTGGCCTCGAGCTCGCGCGCGGCAGAGCTCAGAGCTTCACGAAGCCTGCCACTGCTGTGGTGCCCTGATTTCTTGCGCCGGACCAG